CGAGTCTGTAACCACTTCATACGGTGTGACCATTAAAAAGAAAGGCCTGGTGTTCAGCAGCACTTTCATGTAGTTCAGTTTATTGCATTGTTTAAAGCAGGTTCTAAACTTTTGAGGTTGTGGATTAATTCATTTGGTTTCAGTTGGTCATTCAAATGAAACTTAGCAGAACTTTCACTCTAACTTTTGAGTATTTGTATGAAATCCTATAGCGTGACCATTCATGATCAAATAACTTGAACGTCTTCAGCCGCACCTTCACTTCCGATCTGGTACATGTTCCTTGACTTTGGTTTTGTTTCTGGACTTGTTGAGCACTCTTAGGAAAAAGTGTCAATTCAAAGCTTGAAACAGTTATAATTTCTGTTTTTACACTTTCCAATGTGCTAAGCATTTTGACCAGTAGACGATGAATATGCAGCAAAGCAGTTGAGTGCCAGGCAGGTACCAAAGTAAGAGTTATTTCCAACCCAAAGCAAAAGTTGAAATCAGAAAGTAAAGTGACAACGGATATCACCGCGCCGTCATTTCCTGTACTCAGTTATAATATGTCATTTGTCCCTTTGTTTCACAGGAGTGCAGTGGTTCCATTTGCGTGAGGTTTGGACTTTTAGAATGTCAATGTCAACAGGAGGATCATTTCTGTGATTTGTGCTGCAAAAATGGAGAAGTCGGCGAATGCAAACCCCTAACAGATAGAGGTATAGACAATGTCACGATTACACTCCGGCAGGTTCCAGGCGCACCATGCAACAACTTCAACGGATATTGCGACGTATTTCTTAAGTGCCGCGCCGTCGTGGAGCATTCAGTGAGTAATCTTCCTTTTTTTTTTTTTATCAATATTTATCCAGGGGCATCCAATTTAGCACAGCTAGTTTAAATGGAGCCCTGACATAACACAAAAACAAAGACATTAAAACATTGAAACTAAAAAATTAATTAAGTTACAGAGGCAACATGTACCACGGGCGTTAGAATTTAAAATGGCGCTAAAATATTAGCTTGATTTTAAATTCGCTGAGCGTCTCTACTGGTCTAATGATTCTCGGTAGGGTGTTGTAGGTCCGAGCACCGTTTATTCTGAAGCTACCTTGGTATTCAGACATTGGCATTTAAATCGATGGTGAACGTGAGAGGGCAACAATTGAGTTATGGAGGTTGCCAAGCACGTAAGATGCTACGCCTCGAGCAACTCTAGCTTCTTGAGTGCTTACCAGAACCCCTAACTGCATCCATAACTCGATGGTTGTACAGCTGGGGTGTTTACCATTTCTTTTATATATAACGTAATCGAAAGAGAAAAACATTTCAATTTGCCTGCGAAAAAAATCAGTCATCTGCTCAAAATAGAGGAGTAGACTGCCCTTGCCCCCTGCTCCAAAAACTTGCCTTTATAATTTATCACAATCAGCTGTTCTAAGTCTTGAGGTAGATTGTGAAACGTCTTTTGTTGTTATTATGAGTGACTTCTGTCTACTTCCTCTTCATACTAGGTTAAATACTACAACTATGTACATTGCACTATATACATTGCACCAACTCAAACAATACTACTCCGCAACTTTCTAAAATATACGATAAATGTGACCATTTATGTAAACTTAAAGAAGGAGTTTGCAAAGCTGCCTATATTTGGTTTATATAAATTTTTTCACTGAAAGAAATGGAGCTGAAACTTCAGGCTTAAAATTGCAAAAATTTGCGCAGACACAGGCCGGCGCTGCAGCAATCGTGCTTTGAACTATTGATATGAATGAACAAGCACGGTGCATTTTTATCCACACAAGGGAATTGATTTGTTCAATTTGCCTGAATTTTACCGCGCCAGCTTTTCGTTGGTGTGCACAAATGAGCAAATGGTGGATGGCTGATTGACCAATAAAAGTGCGCGCCTAACTTTTGTCTTGTTATAAGAAGCCTTTAATTGATCATGAATCAGCGGCGGTACCTCCTTATATAATTATAATAGCCTATATGGGGAGACTCCGCCCGAAAGGGGTACCCTTTTCAGGCTTCAGGTATATGAAAGGGTAGGGATTTCACAAGCTGAAGTACAATGAAAGGGGTAGAGAATCGGCTGTCATTTTGGTCTGTAAAAAGGCCTAAAACTGCTAAAAAGGCACTTCATGGCTGTGAAAAAGTCGTAGAAACGTTTTGGTTGTGATCTATTCATAGTAAAAAAAAAAGACAAAAAGTGCTTTTTAAAGCAGTTAAAAGGGATGCAGAATTGTCAGCTGAGGTTAATATGAAAAAGGGGTTCCTTTTCTACCAAAAATGTTATATGAAAGGGTAAGGGGTTGGACCTCTGGGCGGAGCCTCTCCAAGTAAACCTTTGTTAAGCACTCCCCCGGATCATGAAGGTACTGTCACTTTTGATTCCATCTCGTACTATATCCTTTCGTTAAGTCTTTTGCTTTTCCTTTGGAAGCAATGTTATAATTTACTATTACGTATGGCTTTTATAACCAGTCACTCTCCTGTACTAACAATGTTAGAAACCAGTAAATACTGATATTGGCGATAGTAAATGTATTAAACGATGACAGCAGTTAGCAAAAGTAAGTTGTTTGGTAAAGAAGATATCTTTGGTTATTTAGAATAGGGCCAGGAGTACTGGAACAAGGAATACTGCCGGGCTGTACTTCTCATTTTTATTGGCCGCATTCACTTTTATGGCAGGTAACTCAATTCGTTGTCTTATTTAAAGTTTGTTCATGTGGACACCTCATGATCTATGAATAAATTCATAAGGCAAAATTTTGCTGGTGCTACATCTTATATCTTGGCTGTTTTAGAGGCGATTTAGATACAATTTTCCAGACATTGTGGACTGATGAACGTTTAGGACGGTTTGTTTTTATTTGGGAGATCGCGCTTTATGTCAGTCTTTAAGCCATAGATGTACCAAACTGGGAAATCGTGAGTTTTTAAAGTTTGTGGAAGGAATAGAGGACAGCGCTCTGTGATTTTATTCCGATTCATTTTGTATTCTATTCCTATTTAGAATTCCCCTCTATAAATAACATACTACAGTCTACCAAGTTTACTCCTCTGCATTTTTGCCAGCTCGTGAAGTTTTGTATCTGCGTGGAATTTCAATTTTGAGACTCCCGAAGGTGTCCCATCCAAAGCACGAGTGCCAAGCAATATTTGTAATCATGGTTAATTACACTCCACGCTTTAATTTTGTCCATAGGCACCCTGCGTGCAGAGCCTCCACTCCTTTTTTCTTCTTGAGTGAGGATGAGGACAGGAGGCTGTGCGCATGCCTGAACCGCAGCCCGAACCTCTGGACTGGTCAATCTTGTTATCTCAACCACAGCATAACCAACGTTAAAAGAGAGCTCTTCTGAAACAAGGGAATCAGAGTACAGATGCACAGGCCGGGTTAATCTCTTAAGCTGTAGTTCTCTCTCCCCGGCCGGCAGAGGCCTCTTTGTGTTGTAGGGAGTCTGGGGAGAAACAAAAAGAGAGCGCGCGGGTCGGCCGCGCGCTTTCTATATTTCGATGATTACTTTTTTCATTGGCATACCCGAGCGGGAGCCTCTGAGGAGGAGACAGTCAGGCCCTGGTTTCAACTTAAGTCACTTAACGTCGGTTCTTTAAACGAAGTCTAACTTAGACCGCGGTTTAAGAATCTTTGGGCCTCCAGATCTCTTTCGTTTTAATGAAACTGTTCACGACAAATGGTGTTTAGATAAAAGCGTTGATCAAACTGAAAATGACTTAGGACGAGGTTTCGTTATTTACTGGCTAAACTACGTTTAAAAAACTGGCCCTTAGAGTTTCTTTAACTCCTCTTGAATTATGCATTTCATCCCCCTTCAGATTCGTTTAAACAGGTCTTTAAACGTAAAGGGACTGATCATATTTAAACTGGGTTTTGCCAGTGTCAACAAAACTGCGTTACTTCTAAGCCATTTTCAGTTTGACCAACGCTTTTATCTAAACACCACTTGTCGTGTACAGTTTCAAGAAAGCATAAGGCGTAGACCGGAAAAGCACTTATTTTCTTAAAATCAACCACTAAGGAAGTTATCCGGAGGTCCAAAGATTTTCTAAAAAGCGGCTTAAGTTAAACAGATCCAAAGGTTCGGTTATTTAAACGAAGTCCACCTTAGGTCGCGGTTTAGGAAATCTTTGAACCTCCAGATCTCTTCTAGCCTCCCACGCAGATGTTCTTAGGGGTTCGTCACGCGTTCCTGCCCCATGAACGTCGTTTGTGGGGCAGGAACGCGTGACGAACCCCTAAGAACGTCTGCGTGGGAGGTTGATCTCTTCAGTTAGTGGGTTATTTTAAGAAGACAAATGGCTTAAAACGGGTTTTTGTTAAACACTGCCTAAACTCCGTTTAAATTACTGGCCCAAAGTGTCCTAAGGGTAAATGGCTTGTAGTAACCTTGTAACCTTGTTTCTGAATAGTTTTGCAATTAAGCGCAAATAAATAAGCGCAGAGTTAAGTTTTCAAAAGGCCTGCACACTAAACATTTTTTTAATGAATTTTTTAAATGAAGAATTGACTGAATAGAAAACTTTTATACTAGTTGTTCTAAAGCAGAAATCAATGACGGAAAATTATTCCTAGCTGGGTTAAGATAATTAATGTAACTGCTTGCTGGTAAAAGGAATCCCGTTGGCTCTAAAGAGCGGCCATTTTTTCCGGCGAAATTAATCATTAACTATATTACGATTTAGAAATGCCAGTATGTTGCTAACAGAAATAAATCTTTTTCGAAAAAATGGTCTTTGAGGACTCCTGTTAAAGATCGTCTATATTTCACTCGTTTTGTTTAGCAGTTATTTCCCTCATGGTTTTGTGTTGAATTAAGGTGAATAAGGTCCTTCCTAGGGTGCTGTTTAAAAGTTAGTCGCTTGTAATCGATCGCGAATATAATCATCATTTGTACAATTTCTTATTCAATTTTTTTCAAACTACTATTTGTTCTATACTAAAATTATATAATACCCCCTTGTGACTATAAGGGCCGGATTCGGTTGTGACGCGGCATCTTGCAGGTCTTAGATTTTTTTAAAAAAGGAAGTAGTTATTCCAAGGCGTTATTTCCAAGCTAATGACAAAGACGAAAGTTTTTTTCTTTAGCAAGTGACTGCTACAACTCCACACAGGTTAAAGCGAGACTTGTTCAAGACCGTGGAATAGTCACCAAATAGTTTCAGTCATCTAAAAGGCCTAAAATCGCTTCATATAGACGCGCATTTTCGTTCTCTGACCCAGTGCACCATCTGTCTCCTGGCAAACAGCCTTTCGCCTGTAGTTTACTCCCCCGACAACCGCATCAGCGTTTTGGGGAAAGGTGCTTATTTCCCTGGGAGGGACAATTCCTGGAAGGTCTTGTGAGACAGACATCCCCGCAATGTTTTGGTTTTGATCCCGCGCTGTTGGCCCTTGTTGGTGTCCCTGTGAAATTTGGCCCAAGACACCGCTGTGCACAGAAGGTTGATTTGGTAAAACTTGGCTGCCAATCCCTAGATTATCAGCATTCTCCTGTATTCTTGCGCTAGAAAACTGCATCCTGTTACTACTGTTCTCTTCACTCTAAAGGGAAAACAAACAGTTAAATACGGTAAGTTTCTTTAATGATCAATATATTGACCCGGAGGGGGATACTTCCTTTAATGGCCTATACGGGGAGGCTCCGCTAGTATATTAGGCTGATTTAGCAACAGGACGGGAACGTCAGTTGACGACAGGAAAGAGCGTGGAAAGGACTAAACACGACTTCCAGTACTCAATTTGCCGCTCTGCCATTGGTCAAGCCAGTTGTTTGATTTGCGCGCGCCGTCGTCAACTGACGTTCCCGTTCTGTTGCTAAATCAGCCCATTGTTCTCTAGAATTTATACCTAGAAATTCAAAGATTACATAATTCAACAGAAAAATATTCTTCAACACCAACAATTTGTTGAAAGTTTTAGCAGAGCCTTCTGAGTCCATCCAGATCCCCTCATCAGTGATGACGTTTGCTTTGCAGCCTCGTGTTGATGAGGCTTCAAAAGTGTTCCATAAATTGGGAGAAGGTTAATTGTAACCCTGATCACGGTTCATTTCCCGTCGCCGAGTATGAATGTTTATGGCCTCGCGTATCTTGCGCGTGAAAGCGAAGATGGGGTTTGAAACTTGAACGTGTCGGAACAGGACGCTTTTCAAAGATTCTTTGAAGAATCTCGGAGACCCCACCGTAGTACGAGAGCACAACACGTTTCTCTGCCGAAGGCAGGCGCTTGACTGCTGGTCTAACAGATTCATTTTATGGCTGTAAAAAAGTCTACAAAACGTTCCGGTTTTGCGATGTATTCATATTTAAAAGACAGTGAATTTAAAGGTTAAAAGGGACACAAAGTTCTAAACAAGGTGGGTGAAAGGGATACTATCTGTCCATAGGCTGTATATTTATGAAAGAGGTAGGTTAGAGCGCGATCGGGGCAGAGCTTCTCCGTACAAAATTTTCTTCAGCACCCCACAGCACCCCAGGTATTTTGACTAGCACAATAATCAAGAGCTTGTAAGTATGTGTAATCAAATGGTGACGAGTGACATTAGGGAATAATTTCACGCGCGTTTTGTCCAAATCCTTATTATTTCCCGAGCCTTCAGGCGAGGGAAATTATTAGGATTTGGGCAAAACGTAAGTGAAATTATTCCCTAATTTCACGAGTATACCATTTGATTACCTGTTAATATCATGGGTGACGAATTACATTTTTGACTTGTTTATCCTGGATCGTATCGATCGATCGTGAACTCCACTCTCTCAAACGTTTAGAGCTACAATTTGGCTTAATTTTTCAAAATTTTTCGACAACATACCTCTAAGAATCCTTCTTGATGTGCTGTTTCGTGTGTTCAGGTTTTCTAAAGCGTCTTTTTATTCCCTGACATCTTCATTCATGACATTTTAAAACTTCCCTGCCATCTTGAAACGGAGACGTACGGCAGGTTGCCATGGCAATTTAGTAATTTCACATGTGAAATTACAAATTAACGCTGAAATTTCGCGCCAAAATTAAGGAGTAATTCGTCACCTATGATATTATGAGTGAAACATCAGTAGTATAGAGGGGTAGTTCCGCTTATCGAAATATTGTGAGTCCTTTTACAGATTCCTTTGTACTTCATACAAACCTTGCATCACAAAGTTATTAAATGGTCGCTTTGAGTGGTGCCCTTGCAGCTCAGTTTTGAGTTGCAAGCGACTAATAATAATTAATAGTTTTAAAAATAGAGGTGGATTTTGACAGCGTGATGGTAAATTAAAATTGCTGGTTTTCACTGTCACGTCGTCAAAAATCAAAATCAAAAAGTGTTCAACAGATAAAGTCCAGAATCTGGAAATGAAAGGATTTAAATATACAAAGACCTTCGCAAAGAAGAGTTTACGGCGCAATTTTTCGTATGGGCGAGATTCGTTTTAGCTAAATTTTTGTAACTTTAACAACAAGAGCTCTCTAGGCGGCCATTAATGAATGCCGCGTCACGCAAAAGTACTTTATCAAACACGAGGAACCGTTTCAAAGAGAAAATTTGTAAAAATATAAGTTTTTTAGAAGCTCTTATACTTCAAGAAAGTAAAAACTAAGGAGGGTCGATAATTCTTTTGTTTGAAATTCGGGTGACGTCATGTGAAAACCAAAAATGAATATTAAACGCTCGACTGCTGGTTATCACTCTCACGCAATCAAAAAAAGCACTCAAATGAAAAGAAAGGAGGTTGATATGCAAAGACCTACGCCAAGATTTGTCTCGGTGCAATTTTTAATTGCGAAATATTCGGAGAAATGATTTACCCCAATTTATAGAGCTTTTGACGTATTCAGAAGCCATGTTGGTTCTCTACCATGTCGACGTGACAGGATCAGCGAATGTTATGGCTACAGCTTGAACTTCAAAACTAGACTACAAAACAGCCCGTTTTTTCCTCAAAATCAGTAAAGAAATTGGTAAAACGTGGCGTAAAAGCCTCGTTCCAGACCTTTTGTTTCAGTGACTGCTCGCGCGTACTTGAATACGCAAAAATACGGACTGTTTTGCAGTCTACTTCAAAACCATTTCCAGATAATAAAAAATTCAGTGACTGATGGTTTCAGCAGACTCAGCTTAACGATTACCCATTCCTTATATATTAGCCAGGGCAAGATCATAAATGAAAATTATTATTTTATCTATTAAGGCAAATAATTCGACGCTCTACATGTACAGGTATCAATCTCTGTCACTTCGCAAAGACAGAAATTGACAGCAATTTGGTTCGTTATTCTTCGTAGTTCGTCAGCTGTCAAAAAAGAATATACCAGAATTTATTATGGAGAGATAACCTCTATTTTTTTTTTAATCTCTCAGACTTCCTAATGAATCCAGCCACTAATTGCAATTAAAAACCAACGCAGAGAGAAAAAAATAATAATAATAATAATAATAATAATAATAATAATGATAATAATAATCTACAAGTTGTTTTTATGCTTTTGTCTGATGTAATACTTTAAAGAAGGTTTTCGCTTGCAACCCAACAGCCGTCACAAGTCCAATAAGAGCTGACGGTGAAAAACACGTTTTGCGTCAACCCAATACAGCCATAAAGTCAATGCAACTATTCACACAAAGCTGGGGTTTATACCTTTGTTGCTGAAACCTCATTGCCCAACTTATGAAGGTATACTATTTGGTCCCCTCATTTAGTTGTAACAGCCCGGGATCGCAGTGTAAATTCCAATTATGATTACTAAAGAACCCTTACGTTTCTCTTTACTGAATCTTTACTGAATCTTAATTTTCAAAATGTAGGGCAACTTGGTGTGAAAGATTTGTTTCTGATTTCTCGGTCTAAGCAACGAGATGATAATTGCAATCGTGAACTTAGGTATTTACCGTTTAGCATATATATTTTGGAACAATTCATATAGATGTTTAATTCATTAAAAACGTTTTTTCTTTGAAATGCGATTTAATAATTTGACTTTCTTGCTGTCGTGCTGTGTAAGTCGTTCGTTTACAGACTTTAATTTCTGGCGTTTAGAGTCAGGGCTTTATATTAAGCCTAAGAATAGTATCATAATTTTTCGCTTCTGTCTCCAGTTTTCGATATGTTGAAAGGGGTGGCATTAGTTATAAGAATGTAAATGCTTTTTCGCCTTCGCGAATGATAATGAATGCGTCAGTAGCTTTTTTAAAAAAGCACAGAAGGAGATACTTCGTTTAGCAGATGTACGTTTCTAACTTCATATTCGGTTTCAATTCAGTCGCATTCTACCAAAAAAGAAAACGCATACTGCATAATATATCTTTTTATCACAAGAGAGACAACAAGACCAACGTTTAATCCAAAACCAGTCCTTTAAAATAAAGTCGGCTTTATTTATTCGCTTTTACATTAAAAAAAAAAGGAGCGAAACGAGATGAATAAGAGTACCGTACTGGGCAAGAGCATAAATAAAAGATTATAGCTCAGTTTCTCACATATTTTAAGGAGTTGCGCTCTAAAAGTAAGGAATACAAAGCTCATGATTGCTACAAATCTGTTTGCACTTTCATTTATGACACTCGTAACATGCTTTCTAAAATGAAGATCGCGCGGTCAAATAAAACATGGAGGGCGATAAATTTCCTACCTTAAATCTCCGCGCCGCAGATATTGGGTCTTTTATGACTTCTGCAGTTACATCTCTACTGTTGCTCATTCTTTGCACGGATTCGCCCGCAGTTTGTTCCAGCAAGTGTGAAGCACGATTCCCATCCCGAAATATAGTCCTCTCGAAGGGATCTCTTTTCCCAGCCATATTATATCTTAAAACGGTTTAATTCGATGTTATCTGTCCGAGATGATTAGAAAATTGTGGTTTGGCTGAAGTGTTATTCCTCGATGTTGTCACAAACCGAGTACTCAGTGGGATGCGAGGGTTTTTCGGACCCGTCAATACAATAACCAGCCGGTTGGCAGCTGCGCATTTTGGTTGCAATAATTAATGTATGCATATATGCACATAGTCACTCAATGAAAGTAAACAATACTGTTTTTTAGGTGAGAAATCGCGAAGAAAAGTCAGTCACTTTTTGTTACAACCGTAGGGTATTGATTTACTGCGGATATCATATCTTGCATGAATATCAGAAAATAGAATTTATCTTAAGTTGCCTTTCTCAGTAATTTATATTAGGGCTAAATACTGAAAGTTTTATCTTTGCCAATCTCAATTTCCAATAGATCTTTCAGACCTCCGTGACATGAAACTTGAAATTTGTGGGGTTCTCTGAAGTAAAATCGAGGTCGGTTTTTTGTTGATAGGTTTAGTTGGTTTCAATTACAGCAATATAAATCTCGTTTTCAACCATCCGCTGGAGGGGCCAAGCTTTAAGCTTAAGGCAGTCAAGATAAAATGACTTGATATGGCCTTAATAATGACCGAGGAACAACTTGAGCAAATTTTCTCTTCCTGTAATTCGTGTGTGTGAAAGTAAAGAATTGCACGGTGGCACACGACCAGAGTAACAAATGGCAAACGCGACCCATCGTTCACGGCAAAACAAAAAACCTTAAGGCAAAATTAAAATGCCGTGGAAAAAAAACAAAAAACCCAAGGCAAAAGTAATAACCCCAGGGATAAACCTTAATATCCTGACAAAACTGAGAAATCATCGAACAACCTTGGGAAGAATCATTTATTGAGTTTTAAGACCCTTAGCCAGTTCTTTTTAGGATTCGCGGTGAGATTAATAGACCTTGTCACGGTTTTCGACGCCATCTTGACGAGTAGGCAAACGCATGAGAAATTACAGTGATTGTATGAGAATCTAATGTCGAATAATTTCCGTAGAACGGCTCTCCTGAAAAAAATGTGATTTGTAAACTAAAGCTTCACTCCTAAGGAGTCTCCTGAGAAAATTTGAGGGCGTTACATGCACTAGAAGACCTAGAACCACTTTTTTAAAATTTTCTATACATTTAAGAAAGCCAGGGAAAATTACAGACAAATATATGGAAAATCTAAAGCAAGCCTCTGGAGAAATGTAGGCACAGGTACGCCCCCAAATTTTTTTAGGACAATCCTTTGCTTTGTAGCTTTAGTTTACAATTGATATTTTGTTCAGAACACCCGTTCTACGGAAATTATTCGACATTAGATTCTCATACAAACACTGTAATTTCTCAAACGTTTGCCTACTCGTCCAGATGGCGTCGAAAACCGTAAAAAGGTCTATTTTTGCATTACTTTCGCCGAGATTTTTTTCGCTGAGAAGTTTTAGGTTTTACCTTCTTAAGGCCTTTTGTTTTTGCCGTAGGGTTTTGATTTTGACGTGAGGTTTTTGCTTTTGCTGTAAATATTTATTTTGCCCGTGATAGTTGTATGCTACTTCAAATTGAATCATAATTAAGAGTTTTTTTCGTGTAAATAATAGCAAGTAGTCGACGCATACTTCAGAAACTGAGAAAGCTCTTATGTTGGGCATAATTAAAAAAAATTGACAATTATTCTATTCTAAAAAAAAAGGATAAATACGTTTGTTATTCTAAGAAGACTTACTAAAGAGTAGCTTCATATATGATTGCTGTGACGCTTAAAATTAAGGGAGATCGATTTTAGTAAAACTAATAATGGAAAAATAATGAATGACGTGCAAATTTGTCGTTATCATGGTGTTGTGAAATTTTATTCTAATACAAGAAAGAAATCGTTAGTAGCAAATTTGCACGCGTTGGAGAAGGTGAACGTGAATCCGAATCCAAAAAAGTGAAAAACAATTATGATCATTTATTAAATCTTGGGGGCATAAGATAGCTCTAACTAAAAGAACAAACTTCGCTCTTAAGTTACGATTTCCTGTTAATATATTTAATTTTTTTTAAATTTTGGCTCAGGGCGCTCGCATTAGACTTTCATGACATTCATTGGCTCGAATAAGAATTTCATTACTTTGGGCAAACTCTTATGATAATGTTTCCATCATCCAAATTTGCCTTTGTATCAACAGCAGGGAGTTCCTCTATCACTGCAAAGATAGCCGGGGCGTTATTCCACTAATTTTGCGTATTTTTTCATTTCAATCGCTGACTCACATTGTTGTTTATTGTCACTTCGAGATACAAAGTAGCAAGGATCCCCAGTCCCTTATTTACATTTCCTGAATTCGCGTCGGCGGGTATCGGCCAACGCAGTAATTAAAATTCTCCATTTTCCCTGATTTGTATACACACTTTTTAATGTTTATCCTACAAACCCTAGTGAAAGGGGTCTCTACACTAATGAAGATGTGCTATTTATTAGAACTTAAAAATACGAACAGTAGATGAGCATGGCGAAAAATGCAACACTCTGCAAAAAACTGAAGGGGTCCGCAGTGTTTTAATAAAGAACGGGAAAAGCCCCATAATATTAAGCAAAACGAACCAATCGGGATCAACGGTGGGAGAAAACTGCGAAAGCAAACAGGAAATTGGAAAGTGTTTTCATGCAAACTTAAGTACATATTTGAGGAGACTCTGTATAATTTCCTTAAAACAAAATAACTATCAGATAGAAGTAGCTGGCGGATACTTCCGTCCTCCAGGCATCTCAATACAACTAGGCGATCGATGTTGTTACATCATATCGTCGAGAACTTCACAATGTATTTTAGAGATGGCCCTTAATTAACCATCCAATTCTGATGTTAAATAGTGAGAAAAAAAATAAGTCTGGCGTTTTATTTATAATATATACAAAGGGGTACTTGTCAATGTGTGTGTGTTGCAAAACAAAACAGTCGTTTAATTTAATTTTAAGCCTTCAATAACCATCTCAGGTATGCTATTAAAATCATTGCTTTTATTGTTATTGCATGCAGTATATTTAGTTTTTCTCCACTGGGTAGCGAAACAATCTATCAGTTCCTATAGATATATGAATAGATATATGTATTTAGATATCCGGTAAACCTTGTGAGAGGGGAACCTTTTTTTCTCATATCTTTATTGGGGTTTCTAAAACAAATACATACAATATCTGACAGCTCTTTGATGAAAAAAATACATATATTTATGTAATTTATATTGGCCTGATAAACGAAACCAAATTTGGTCTTTTGACGATTGTAATCGACAAAGACACATGAGCAAGGACCAAGGACTTGCTTGGTGAAATATTAAAGTAAGTCAGATATAAGTACCCAAATTGTTAGCAGAGTAATGTCCTGCATGCGCAGTCAGGACATAAATAACAAAATGCTTCGCATGGTCGAGGTGAATTAATATTTCTGTCAAAGAAACATTAAACTTCTTTATAACATTTATTATTCATTCAAAATATTACGCTGTTTCGTATTGGCTCCAATCCCCATGCAGGTTAATTCTCCGTAATCAGTCGGTGCTCACCATATTTGAAAGATATAAAGAATATGTTAAGAATATACGAACGATACGATGGTATATTGACCCAAATTAAAAACGTCTCTACGCAGCGGGCGGACCAAAGTAAAGATCATTTTCGTTTTTAATANATGGCCCTTAATTAACCATCCAATTCTGATGTTAAATAGTGAGAAAAAAAATAAGTCTGGCGTTTTATTTATAATATATACAAAGGGGTACTTGTCAATGTGTGTGTGTTGCAAAACAAAACAGTCGTTTAATTTAATTTTAAGCCTTCAATAACCATCTCAGGTATGCTATTAAAATCATTGCTTTTATTGTTATTGCATGCAGTATATTTAGTTTTTCTCCACTGGGTAGCGAAACAATCTATCAGTTCCTATAGATATATGAATAGATATATGTATTTAGATATCCGGTAAACCTTGTGAGAGGGGAACCTTTTTTTCTCATATCTTTATTGGGGTTTCTAAAACAAATACATACAATATCTGACAGCTCTTTGATGAAAAAAATACATATATTTATGTAATTTATATTGGCCTGATAAACGAAACCAAATTTGGTCTTTTGACGATTGTAATCGACAAAGACACATGAGCAAGGACCAAGGACTTGCTTGGTGAAATATTAAAGTAAGTCAGATATAAGTACCCAAATTGTTAGCAGAGTAATGTCCTGCATGCGCAGTCAGGACATAAATAACAAAATGCTTCGCATGGTCGAGGTGAATTAATATTTCTGTCAAAGAAACATTAAACTTCTTTATAACATTTATTATTCATTCAAAATATTACGCTGTTTCGTATTGGCTCCAATCCCCATGCAGGTTAATTCTCCGTAATCAGTCGGTGCTCACCATATTTGAAAGATATAAAGAATATGTTAAGAATATACGAACGATACGATGGTATATTGACCCAAATTAAAAACGTCTCTACGCAGCGGGCGGACCAAAGTAAAGATCATTTTCGTTTTTAATACACTGTAAAGACAGCGTTGATGCTACAAGACGTTGTAGAAGGCCTTAATGTAATCAAGTCCTAGATGTAATCACCCTAAATGAAATAAAGTCCGAAATGTAATAACATTTGCCATCAAATGTAATAAACTCCTAACTGAGTGAGATAACATCCGGCCTATGATGATATGACGTCATGCTAACGTCATTTATGACTTAAGTACTCCTTGATTAAACAACTAACTGGTTATGACAATAACCACGTGATCTGTCGCGCCATCTGTCACGCCATTGGTCACGTCGATCATCGTCAACCACATGACCAACTGATTAAAACACCGTCATGACTAATGAAAACATCAATCATGTGTCGTGCTTTGGTCAATGTACTTTTTTGCCAAAGTCGGGACATCTCAAGACATAATGATTAGCTTCTATGACAAACGCGTTATGAAGGTAAAACATTTAGGAAAAAGAAATAAAAGATAGCTTTCCAGACAACTCATACAACAAAACAGCAGCCATTTTGTATTACATAACATCTAAGGGGCCGTCTATATATGATGATACCGGAATGACTTTTATTCCGGAATGAGTTTCGTCCCAGTGTGAAGTTCGTACTGCATCATGATAAAATCGAACTGCTCAGCCTAAGGCGTTCTCGTTCGCGTGGTTCTCCAATGGCAGATCAGATACGAGTGCCAGATCAGATTTGCTGTTTCCGAAGAAAGGGCGGTTAAGTGTTTGAGTTCTTCGGACATCTTCGGCAATGGTTGGACTTCTTTGTTAGTCTTCGAAAATCTTCGGCAGTCTTCGGTAATGTTCGGTAGCCTTCGGAAATCTGAAATTAATTGTTGTTAAATGGCCGAAACTCCTTGATATACTAAACAAAATAATATTGGCCTTTTTAGAGCCGTTTTTGCTTCTTTCTGGAAACAATGTACTGTTTCAAAGAATTTTTTACTGTTAGTGTTTTAAATAAATGCCTAAAATTTAACTGTTTCATGTTACAAAGCCAAAAAAAATGAAGTGTTTAGTGTTATCGAGGTTACCCTGCGAGCAGAGGCTACATTTTCGCGGTATGAGCTGGCGTCTACTTTTCGCACGCCAGCTCATACCGCGAAAATGTAGCCTCTGCTCGCAGGGTATATCGAGGTACCCCCAGTAAGACTTTCGATTAGCAAAAGCACGTTTTTAGTTCACATGATACCAGAATGAATTTTAGTACCAGAACGAGAAGTTCATCTGGATTGAACACCTTAATGAACTCATTCTGGAATGACTTGTAAGAAAACGAAATTTCGTTTGGGTCTCGCAGGGATGGAGATGGAATGAACTCTTTCTAGAATGAAAGTCATTCAGGTATTATGTGATGGTGAATAGCCTCTAAGATGAAATATGTATGGCATGATTTTTATAAACATGTAACTAATGAAATGCCGTGTGCCGTGACATTCTCGTTCTCCTCACAGCTGCCGTCCTTTTTATAGCGATCGCAAGCTAAAAGGAGCATGGGTCTGGACTTCAGTTGCGAGTACGTGCGTGTTTAGTCAGCTCAGTACGTTATGGCCCTGTCATGAAAAGTTGTTATTGCCCTTAAATTTCATCAATTAAGTCTATTTACACACTACAATTTATTGTCTGGCTTTCGTTACTTTTAGGAGGCTGTCGCTCTATAGAGGAAAACAAGTCAGTGCTCGAGCAAATTGACGAGTTATACTACGAAAAAAATAAGGTCGTATGTTCGACGACAAAGAAAGAAAAATGGTACAAACACTGATCATTTCTGAATGCATCTTCTAGTCACGAACAATGAATATCGCATTTGGCACATCGTGGTAAACTCGTTTCTTATTATTTTTTGGAGTTTAGGCAATTTACCATACATTCAAGCGAGCAGTGAATACAGTAAATAAATCTTAAAGATTCATGGACCCCCTTCATGTTTTTCTCTTGTTGCACATTCTACATTTGGCGTATGCATTTGTCAGGTTGTCGCGTTAACTCGTCATTTTGTTCGTGCACTCAGAGTTAGTTTTTTCCTCTATACAAAAAAGCGACGGTCCCCTAAAAGTGACCAAGGCCTTTTAAATTGAGTAATACCCAAAATATCGCTTCTTCTCGTGATACTTATTTAACCGCTAATTATGTGACCCTTGTCTAAGTTAGTAGGTATACTATATGCGAGTTAATACCTCTGTGATTTGCGCAATCGAACCAAACACTTTTGTACTCACTAGGTTATCGCATATTTGTCCACCTCTCTCGGTAGCAAAAAGAAAAATCAAATCTGACGTCACAGTAACTTTTAATTTATGACAGAGCGTGCGAGCGATGGATCTTTCTATTATCCATGATGGATCTGTTCTCGGTTGTTCAAACGTTGGATAAAAATCTATCCACTGGATAACGAAATTGGTTTCCCTAGTACTTAACCGCTTTATAGTAATTTATCCGGTGGATAGCGCTATCCAACGTTTGAACAGCCGGGGCCAGTACGATAAGTGGCAATTTCGTCTTCAAACGAACTAAAATATGTTTCAAAGTGCAGTTTTAAATTGCTGCGAAGCAACACACTTATCTGTAGGTCTCCTCTGTGGTTCCTTGGGCGTCCTGTTGCCATTCAGGCGTTACGATCTAGATTTATGTTTGTCAGGATGATTTTAAGCAAGTATGTCCCACGGTGTCATCATAACTTTGAATTCAAGTGGTAACGTACACCCTCATTGCGTCATTCTTATTGCGATACGTTAAGCACATTGTGGCGCGCGCAGACAGACTGTAAAGTCGCCGCCAATGAAGACCCAAATCTCTAAGAATTCGTAATTGCTGGACCCCTTCAGGGGCGGATCCAGGATTTTTCTTAGGAGGGGGTGCACCACTAACTGACCGATGACGTAAAAAATTTTAAAAGCGAATACGAAGAAGAGGGCTTTTGACTAGGAAATAACATAATGTGGACTGCTGAGAATACATATCAAACGATAGAGCAGATTTTGTATGTCTGTCAAGCGACTGTACAGTGTTAATTAGAAAGCGGCCGCAGGTCATCCCAGGGGGGGTGCGCACCCCCTGCACCCTCCCCCTGGATCCGCCCCTGCCCTTGTAGGCCTTTATCTCATAACCGATTAATTGATCCAATAAAAGGGTCAGTAATAAACCAAAATGTGTATGCTCAGCTGTGTATAGCTTTCAAGATGATGTTTTACTGTCCAGCATCTGTTCGCGGCATTATTACAATAAACAACCTCTAGTCTTAATTTAATGAGGCTTCCACTAACTTTTGAAAACCAGTCAGTTTCAATTACAGGGGGGCGGACAAGGGTCTCTCTCCTCAGTTCCTCTCATTTCTCTCCCCTGTGAGAGACTCTGCGAGCAGGGACGTTGTAGTCCCAGGTGAGGATTGTGCCACATGACCAAGTTTTTCTCTTAATTTTCGTGTACTGTTTATTACTTCTACTCAAAAATAAGTAGTTTCACGCCAGTTTTATCCGTAAGAATTGTCCTGGAAAGTTTTTATCTGCTTATTTTCTATTCTGAGAAATTCTCAACTTAAATCTGACGTTTGCCGTTTGCCGTTAATGTAAATCTCTCTAATCTCTCTATTGACTTTGACGTAAAATAATATATAAAAGACCTTTTCATTGAGAATATCACAATGCTATTATAAGCTATAACTGCTATAACACAATGTTATTGTACATAAAAAAAAACATGACGATTTTGAGGCGCCAACAAAACAAATCTAACAAAACAGTAGGTAAATGATCAAACAATGTCCCTAGCATAAAAAACGATGGCAGCTGTGTCTTCTTAGGCCAATGAAAAATAGAGCTTCTGATGAGATCATCGTGCTTCCAGTTTTGTATGGCGTTGAACTGAGATTAAGAATGGTCAACCGGTCATATATGCAGGTCTTACTGAGAAGCTCAACTCGGGCCTACAGAGAAACGTGACCCCTAGAAAGTACGCTCATTTAGCAATAGAAAGGGAACATCAGTTGACGACTGGAAAGTGCGCGGAAAGGACAAAACGCGACTTCCGGGACGCAATTCACCGCTCTGCCATTGGTCAACCAAGTTGTCTGATTTGCGCGCGCGGTCGTCAACTGACGTTCCCGTTCTGTTGCTAAATCAGCCTATTATTTCATTATAGGACGCGAAGCCTTTCCTCTCTAATCTTGCTCTGACCAGTGTTTCGTTGAGAAAATGGGGCAAAAACAGAAAGATAGCGACTAGCTATACCCCACACGCAATTACTGTACTATTCTCCCATTCCCTTTCTTGCTATTGCAAGGCTTCATCGAATAAGCGCTCGATATTCTCTAATTCCACTGCATCGTGGCAAACAACCACAGGAATGGTATTTCTGCCGTCACTACTATCTTCGTCGTCGCTTTTCTTGACATCTGATTTCATGATTAATTCTTCCCTCATACCCATAGAATGGCTTACGGTTTGACCAGTGATAGTGGGTTCATCTTGAACATTCTGGCTATAGCGAGGTAGCGCTGTTTGGCTGGTAAGCGACATTCTAGGAATCCTACAGATGTCAAGAAATTCTCCGGATGGAAAAACCTGACCCGACCTTCCATCATCAGGGAGATTAGATCCATTATTTACTGAAGAAACCTCATTCACTTTATAGGTGCTAGCACGATTTCCTCTCCAGAAACAAGTAACCAGCTCCTCGTTTTCTTCGCTCCGGTAGAACCGCCAGGAACAACATGAGCAGCGCTCACTCCGCGCAACGTAGATAACCGGTTTTATTGCACACTGAAGCCAGTAAAGCCACAGGAAGGCTGAGATTATGTTATCGTTAACCCCGAGTTTTCCATTAATTTTCCGGTGTACGTCAATGGTGCGGGCTACATGTAATGGTAACGTCAATATCGTGTAGATAAATACAAAAATAATTGTGGTCCAAGCCGAGCGCATATGCGCAGCAACGGTCAGTTTTTCCTCGATCGATAGAAGTTCTGGACTAATTCGCCGTCGAATGGGAAGAAGATAAGCAAGGATTTTCCAAAACGAAAACAGTGCGAGAAATAAACCTAAGGATGCCTCTATGGTATTTTTAGCAAAACATACTTTGCCCCAGTTTTTATCTTCCTGATAGGTATCTAGACATACCGCAGCTGGACGAGAGTAAGAGAGATGATGACGGCCCATGGGTGCCACTACCACCACTGGGAAAATCCAGGCGATGCAGAGAAGAACACCTACCTTGCGGTACGATAAACTAGGAAAACGCCTGCGCGAGATCGCCAGATATTTTTCATAGACAATAGCGCAGGTACTTAGGCCAGCAACGTGAGCAAAATAGAGGAGAAGTAAGCCTTGGATGCTACAAAAGATGGAACCAAACAACCAGTGACCGGAGACAAGTGAAACAAAGGAAAACGGCATGATGAAAACGCACGTTAGAAAATCGGCAAAACTCAAGCTCGCAACCAACAGGTTTAGGACGGGACGAAGAGCATCTGCCACCAGTACGGTGTGAATGACGCGTCCATTGCTGTAACCGCCAACCACCATGAAAAGTACGAGCAAAGCTGCTTTCAGAACAAGGAAGGACATTGGCAAGAGACGATGAAGTTATGCCTTTGTAGTCCCAGTTTGTGAGTGTCGAGAAAGAAAATTTCACTTAGGCGGTCTGGTTCAGTAAAAGCGTTTTCTGCTTTGAAACGTTGCCGCCGAATCGTAAAGCACGTAACTGTACGGGATGCCAGCACGATCTGAAAAGAAAACGTCTTCTTTTCTGTTTTAGAGGTGGATATTCTCTCAAACACACGTCCTTTTGTCGATGGGTTAAGGAACTCCTTCTGAAGGATAAATCTCGTTCGTCGCCCGAAAGCAATCAACCACGAAATGCGTTTCCCCTTCTCGTTACTACCAAAACTTTTTGGACTGCGAATTCAAAATAACCGAGGACAGATGGACTCGTTCCCTGCCCTTGAATTCTTAGTAACTTCGCTAAAACAAAAGGCCTTGCGAAAATATTTTGCAAAAAAATTCACGAGTGATTTATGCATCTACTTAGCTTTTTTCTTGGCCAATGACTACTGCGGTTTGTTAAAACCTTTAACAAAGGAAACCTTAGGATTTGGAAGGGGTATTACGTATAGTAATGGAGACGTAAAGAATAATTTCTTTGATCGTTACCGCCTTGACGTCAGTGGTCTAGTATTCCATAAAAGGAAATTATCAGTTCTCATGCATTTGTTTTTTACCTAGTCATCCACAATAATTTTTTTTAAGAAATTGCCTACAAGTAATTTTAATGAAGATAATTAGGGGTGACCAAGGGACGGTTTACATCTCAAGGGAGGAAGATTGAAGCACCAGGAAGGTCCGATCATCCTAGCGCCAGTATTCAGTTCACATGCAAAGGACTGCACTTCCCTCTAGCGCTAAAATCTTCCTGGCTGAGTGGTAGGAAGATCCTTGTACCATGTTACTGCCTTTGCTAGAAAGATCCTAGTACTAGGGATAAACCAGAAAAAATGGAGAAGGGGGTAATCAGGTAATTCATTTCGTTTTGCGTTACCACGAGCTGAGAAAGCCTCAAGTCCCCGCTTTCACCTTTGAAAATACTGTAAACGCGTTAGAGATCCAAACGAAAAGTCTAGGAGGTAGGAAGGGGAGGTCGAACCTCCCTAATGAGATCAGGATTCATTAGACTAGAGCCTTTTGCAAGTGTATCACATGTTATTTGTCGAGATGAAATCGTGCAGGTCACTGATTCGGGACAGCATATGTTGTGGTACCAGAAACTCGTTCCTTTGTTTCGTTTGTTTGCTTGTTTGTTTCAAAATCATTATAATACATTTACCATACTCAAAAACAATGGAAAATTAAATTTAAAAAAGGACAAAATTAAACCACATCACAAGCAACGTTTCTTATGAAGTCGCACGAATATATAACACGTATAACTAAATAACACTAATACGCCGGAGCTTTTTCATATTTTGATACTAAGAGAACATAACAGTGAAAAAGTTTTGAACCCCCCGGCCCTATAAAAACAAAAAGTGAGTTTGGTTTAGGTTCCTCGAAGTTCTTCTTCGAAGTTCTTGAATTTCTATCGATGCCTAAGATTTCTCTTGTGACGGTTTACGGTTATTTTATAGAGCTTTTAACGATTGTGGACGGTGATAGTGGAAAATTAATTTAGCCCAAACAGTTGAATCGAACCTCTCCATAACGGCCACCTTGCTTGTGAACAGAAGAAAGTGGCCGTTGTGTAGAGGTGGTCGATATGGGGAGGTACGGGTATAAAATGACACTGACTCTCAGCCTGAGGTACATGTTCTGAGTATAAAAAGGGTTCTCACAAAAAAATACTGTTTTTTCATTTTAAATGAATTGAAAGACTTGTCACGATTAATTGTCGACGTTTCGTGACCATTTCGTCAGTCGCTGAAAAATGTGGCCGTTGTCGGGAGGTTATTTCGGCAGTTGGGAACAAGCTTTAGTGACCGTTGCCCTTGAGGAGAGGTGACCGTTAGGGGAGATTCGACTGTAACTTCTGTAGAAATTGTTATTAACTGTTGTGTTTTGGAAATTGTTTTAGCCTTTCACTTATAAAATTTAGAAATATTTTTGGATATGGGCAAGTTGTAAGGTCTTGTAATTCGAGAACATGAAAACTGGTTTTGCCAGTTTAGAAATTCTTCAGGAGCCAGAATTCAGTTAAGATCAGTTGAAGCCGTGAGGTCATTGAGATATGAAATACCTTGAAAGTTTTTGACGGTTAATTTAAATCTGCATTTTGACGTTGACGATAAAAAATTACCTCTTTTCGACGGCAGCCGATTAAATTTAAGGCTGTTTGACAGCTGACCGTTAACCCAATTCAGACTCTCCAGCGGGCCCCAATAATAAAAGAACCAGATCAGCCTGAAGCGACACTGAACATCCTGACAAGCGATATCCGACACCCTCAGAGTCACCCTGAATCCAATGCCGTGGATTCCGGATTCTAGGTATTAGATTCCAGAGTCTTTGTCAGTGGAACTTAGAATGTGGATTCCAGTCGCTAGTGGGATTCCAGATTCGTTAAGCTGTTTTCCGGATTGTAAAGCCAAGGGTGGAGATACAACAAGCAAAATTTTTTTTGCAGATTCCGGATTCCACAAGCAAAAATTAACCGGAATGAGGAATCCGGATTCCCTTACATAGGGCGAAATAACTGTTCAAATCTTCCAATTTTGCGCCCGAACACTGAAATTTTAAGCTGTTTTCCTGCAAGCAATCTCATGAGAACGAAGCAATGTAAGCCTTGTTAGTAATGGTTTGGGTTCGAAGGAAATAATTAGTGAAACCGGCACTCAAACAGGGTATATCAGTGAATGTTCCTCCCATACAAGTGTAAAGCCGATTCTAGTTCATCACCTGTAAGGACAGCGGATTAAGGCGAGTTTTTATGAAACAATCTTGGCACCTAGCAACGTCCATGTATTTGTGTCAACCTGACTGCACGAAAGTGTGATTCTTCTGCAAAGCAACAATGTGGCGAGAACAGAAGGGAACGTGTGGCGCCTCGTATTTTTACAGAAAGACCGCTAACCCGATGACTTTTCTTCTGTTACATAATTAAACGCACCTACCATAACAGCTAGCAAATATACTTTTGACTCAGCGGATTTGGAAGCATATTGATGCCAGGAAAACAGCTAAAAATAGCAAGGTAAAAGTTCCGTGAGTGTTAGTGTACGATCCTTCACCAGCAAGAGAGTTATAACGCTTGCAAGATTATCCGTTCGCGGTCATCCAAGCAAGAAAATTATTTCTTCGTTTCTTATCTGTACATTAATCCATTCGCCCCCGAACCGCCCTGAACTGTTTCAGGAGGATCCACGTCACTTCTACCGCTTGTGACGTCGTCAGTTTTAACGTTCAAGGACAATTTTGTCCTCTCACCGGGAGAGGGTGACATTACTTCGTTAAGACAAATCTCTACGCATCCACCTCCCAGCAATGTCGGCTTCTTTGTTTTCGTTCGGCCAAAAATTTCTTTTGCGTTTGGATGGTTTCCTCCAGCGCTTCGTTCATTGGCCGAATGAAAACAAAGAAGCCGACCTTGCTGGGAGGTTGGTTGCGTAGAGATTTGTCTTAACGAAGTAATGTCACGCTCTCCCGGTGAGTTATTAGAGGATGTTAGCATCGACAACGAGTACGAGTTCTAGAACGAGATCAACGATTTTGCGTACTGCGCATCCGTTCTGCGCATCTCCACGTTTTCAAGTCGTCCTGTCAAGTTGCACTACGACGAGTTCTCACCAAAAACTCGAAGTGGGTAGAACGACTGGGAAGAGCTGGTTTTCAAAGGTAAATTCCGATCGTTTGGTGCAGTTTCTTTTCGTTTCTAGCCTCTCTTTATCATCTTGAACATTCCTTATATTATGTTTTATGTAAAATACTGCTTTGAAGTCGAGGAAAAGCAACCTAACGCGATATTTCCTACACAGAGTAAATTTGCATTTACCCGGGAAAGTTTCATGTCTCTCCACAGGCCTCACAGGCTCACGAAATAACCCCGAAAATTGCCATTATTTGGTCGAAAATATCCCAACAGTCGAAGATATCAATAAAGAATACTTACTTCTTTATCCAGTGTGGTTGTTGTGTTGAATTTGATGGGAGAATACACAGCCCTTCCTCTGTATAGGCCGCTGTTCGATTTTCGCACACAAATTTTTCCGGTAGACGCAAAATACGACCAAGGTAGGGAATGACCTTGTCGCTAAAACGAAAGCGGCTGAAGCACTCTTCCTCGGAAACTTCATTCAGGTCGAATCTTCGATACTTTCCATGCTCAAATACAGGATAATCTGTGCTGTTTACATCATATAAAGCACAAAATTCTTCTTCGTCCAAAAAACCTTCCATGTAACTGAGTAACAAGCAGTCTTGAACGTTTTTTAGAGTCATTTTTTGTTTTCCAAATTGTTGTGGAAGCGCTACCTCGACTCAAATTTGGCGCCCAGTCATGCGGAATCCCATAATTTTATTTTCTATAAACTCGAACTCGGTGTCATCGCTAACATAGAAAGCTGAGAAAACGACTTCGAGTACGAGTACGGCTTGAAGTCGTTCTCGTACTCGTACTCGTTGTTGATGCTAACATCCTCTATTATTAGACGCAAGCGCCCAGTCACCGCCGACCGACAAAACGGTTGAAATGTTACACTTTTCCTACTCACGGATAAATGGCCCCGATAGAGTATTAAAGTGTGACGTCATAAAAAGGAAATTTCTGAAATTATGGGATTTGTCAGGATATTCTGAAAGAACAATGTCCAAGAGGCCTACTTGCCAAAAATGAGCATTTCGGGGCAAATTTTCTCTGAGATCGTAGCCCAGTTATGCTTACAAAACTCCATACAAACCCTTCTAAATTTTTTTTGGGTCGACCCCAAAAAAAATTAGAAGGGTTTGTATGGAGTTTTCTGAGTATAACTGGGCTACGATCTCGGAGACAATTTGCCCCGAAATGCTCATTTTTGGCAAGTAGGCCTCTTGGACATTGTTCTCTCAGAATATCCTGACAAACCCCATAATTTCAGAAGTTT